GGAAACAGGCTCTCTACATGCATCATGAAGGGTGTATTTGGGATTGTAGGATGAAGCTGTCACGCTGTTCACTTGAAAGGGGGTGTTGGGCAAAGAGGAACAGATTTCAGGATTACTAGAGATGTGTGTCTAATATGCTAAAAGATAAACTCAGGCGTATGAACATTTCAAGGTTGTTTTCAGCAGATTTCTATTTGAGTGCCATACTAGATGCAGTTAGTACCCCCTGCCCCCCAGGGGCCTGGGGCAAGGAAAAGACTATAGAGAAGAGGCAAATGCAAGGCAAGGAATGGGTTAAATAACTAGACTTCAACATCAGCCCAAATATGAGGTCTGAACAACCTCAGAAGATATTTTAATAAGACAAAAGAACCTGAGAGACCCTCAAAGAAAAAAGTCACCAGAGCTCAAAATCCTTTACCTTGATAAACCTTGCCAATAACTCCTTCCTGCAGAGAGAGCTCCAAGCTGAGCAGCTTGAAGAGGCACCAACCCATGCTTCCTGGAGAATTCAGAACACAGGACTCCCCGTTCTGGAGTCACTGCACCCAACTTAGATCGTATTCTTTTCCTTGAGAGCCTCTCCTTCCTTTGAAGAACCCCATATTTTTCCATTCTTCCTTGTTTTTAATCTCTTTTCCCTACTCATTTGTGTGTGTGCCAGTGTGTGTCTGTGTGTGTGTGTGTGTGTGTGTGTGTGTGTGTGTGTGTGTGGGTGTTTGTGTTGTTTGGGAGCCGCACTTAGTGGGCTCAGAACTTGTTCATGGCTATGTACGCAGAAATTACTCCTGGCAGGTCCCAGAGGACCATAAATGGTGTCAGGGATTAAATTCAGGTCAGTTGCAGGCAAGGCAGCTTAGTGTCTGTACTACCTATTAAACCATCTAAGTAAATACCATTAAATAAAGCTATTTTGTTTCACTCTTTCACCTGCTCCTGAAATTTTTTTCTTTGAGAACAGATGAAGCTCCTGGAGCACTGTGCTAAGACTCAGACTTTTCTTTTCCTGCGAAGATTAGTTCCTCATTTCAGGTTGATGCTACTGCTCCCTGAGCATTAGGTGATGGGGACCAGTTCGCTTACTGTGCAGATTGAGTGGGCTTCAGGCATAGCTTGATGGTCACATAGTAGGGTCCTGGTAAGCATCCATGCCACATAGTTGCTAGGAGAAGCCTTTACCTGTCCTGACCCATCTACGAATTTCCTGGTGTGACCAAGGAGGGTCAAGCAGAGGGGCAGAAACACTCTTGCTCCCCACTCCACCCAAGGCACCTGCAATAATATTCAGTAAATACTTCAACCACTGCACGAAAGCTCAACAGCATTCTCATTTTCACACTTTACAGAGGGGGAAGCTGAGGCATGAGAGATGAGTGAAGAAACCAATCTACACTCCAGCACCATTCAGTTAGAGAGAATCTAGAAATAACCCTTGCCCAAAATCAGAAAAGTGGATAAAGAAACTATTGTACAGGAGCTGGAGAGATAGTACAGCGGGTAGGGCGTTTGCCTTGCACGCGGCCAACACGGGTTCGATTCCCAGCATCCCATATGGTCTACTGAGCACCGCCAGGAGTAACTCCTGAGTGCAGAGCCAGGAGTAACTCCTGTGCATCGCCAGGTGTGACCCAAAAAGCAAAAAAAAAAAAAAAAACTATTGTACAGCAGAGATGCCACCGGCCCCCATGCCAGGCTATCTCATCCAGGGGGATCGAGCAGGGCTAGTCAGTTCTACCACCCACCCCCCAAAAAACCTCCAGAAATCACCACTATGCTCAAGGCCCATCTCCACGGGCTACACGAGCCTCATCCATGAGGAATTCTGCTGAAAACCCAAGGTATACAGACTTGTGACTGAAATCTCCATTCCCACCTGCAGTCGGGTGACCTACCCCCACCTCCCTGAGTTCTGGTAGCTGGCAGTCATGCCCACAAACTGACTCTGGTTCCATTTAATCTCATTAACGGCCATGATCCAGATACTCACAAATAAACCTCAGAAGAGGAAGAGAGCAACACGCTGCGGAGATGCCTCTGGACCCCAAAGTCACCATCCACTTAAAAATTGAATTCTTGCTGGATTACTCTATTAAAAGTATTAGAAGTTCTGCACATTTCATACTCTGTACAAGGGCTTACTGGCTCCAGGGTAATAAAACAATCTTCACACACTTTCCTCTAGAAAAACTTTTCTGGATCATCTTTAGAGGATTATTCATTATAGGCGGTACAAAGGAAATTATTATGTTCTGCTTTGAACATCGGGATGGTATAATTTGAAATACAGTGATTGTAAGGTGTTATGGTGGTGGATTGTTGTTGGAAAATGGAATGCAATCAATTATTGTGAACAACTTCATAAAAATAAAATAAAACTGGAGCGATAGCACAGTGGTAGCGCATTTGCCTTGCACGCAGCCAACATGGCCGACCCAAGTTCAATTCCTCCGCCCCTCTCGGAGAGCCCGGCAAGCTACCGAGAGTATCTCGGAGAGCCTGGCAAGCTCCCGTGACGTATTCGATATGCCAAACACAGTAACAACAAAGTCTTCAAATGGAGACGTTACTGGGCCCGCTCAAGCAAATCTATGATCAACGGGAGGGCCTTTAAAAAAAAATTAAAAAACTTTGAAACTATGATACATCTACATAATGGAACACTACATGGCTGTTGTATCATGCTGAGATAATGCGTCAATGGGAACAGATAAACATACATTGATGGCACTCGTTTGGGATATAAAAAGCCAAAAACAATAACACAGTGTGTGAATAATACCCAAAGACATAGAAACAAGAGCCACCAGAAATGGCTCAAGGAAAAAAGCATGCCACAAAAAGGGAGGGGGAATAAAGTTAGGACAGAGAAGGGAACCCTTTAACAATGGTAGTTGGAAATGATCACTCTGAACAAAAACTAAGTGCTGAAAGGAGAGAAAGAGAAATGCACCATACCTTTTCAGTAAGAGCATTGCAAAGCAGCATGCCTAAAAAAATGTGAGAGACAGACAGACAGACAGAAAGTGTCTGGCATAGAGCAGCTTTGGAGGTAAAGTGGAGGAGTAGTGCAGGAAGGAAACTGGGGACGTTGGTGGTGAAAATCTGCGCTGATGAAAGGATGCGTGTTGGAATGTTGTATGACTGAAACTCAATCATGAATGGCTTTGTAACTATTTATCTCACTGCATTTTATAAAGAAATTTGTTTCATCCTCAGCAGTGTTATAGTTGCATTTGAATGATTGTTTATTATGTGAGAATACCCTTATGCCATCACGTATATGAAAATTTGAAAGCTTCAGTTCCAAAAGTGAAAACTGTCCAAATTCAATGGCCTATCTTGATCACTTGATCACTTGACATTCCATTATTCATCGATTTGCTCGAGCGGGCACCAATAACGTCTCCATTCATCCTAGTCGCGTGCTAGTGTAGCCCAATGCCCTAGCTATAATTGAAATAATCTTAATTCTGGGGCCTGGGCACTGGATTGTCTCATCAACCTACCAATTCAATTCAAGTGTCCTTATTCATATTTTCAATTTTCCTGAGTACTGAGCCTATGAATCCCAGGATCCACAGAGAAAATGCTCACTCTTCCTCCTCCCTGCTTGCTCCCAAGGAAATAGTGACTCAGCCTCTGAGCCCTGTGGTCTGAATCAACCCTGACTTCCTCTTAGAACTTCCCAGCCCTGCTCACTTCACAGAATGACCACCAGGGGGCAGCAGATAATCATGGGGTCCACTGGAGCTGGGGTGGGTCAGGGTGACAAGGGGTCTAACTCAGTAGATTCAGGGATGTTCAGGGAACTGGTGTTTAGTAACCAACCTCCGACCTAAGGAAAAGTATTTATTTTCTTATCACCTGACGCAGATGAGCATATTTTTCTTTCTTCGTTTTTCTTTCTTTCTTTCTTCCTTCCTTCTTTCCTTCCTTCCTTCCTTCCTTCCTTCCTACCTTCCTTTCTTTCTTTCTTTCTTTCTTTCTTTGATTGACTTCTTTTAAATCTGAACTTTGTTGTGTGGCAAGTGGCAGGGCCTGTGGTGTAAATGGGGGGAGGGGGGAGGGTCTCCGGAACTGGGGAAAGTATGATTCATTCTAAGGAGGCCCTGGGGGAACTGTGATGCTGATCAAACTACTTGGTGTCAGAGATTAGTCAGCCACTCGGAGGGTGCTGTGGGAGAATCCAGGGCTTTCCTCACTGATGCTCGGTCCAAGCAAGGCACTTAGGATATGAAGTGTGTGTGTCTGTGTGTGTGTGTGTCTGTGTGTGTGTGTGTGCGCGCGCGCGCGCGCGCGCGCGCGCGTGCGTGCGTGCCACACCCAGCCATACTCAGAAATTCTGACTTTGCATTCTTGGATTGTTCCTGACTGGGTCTGGGAACAAAATGTGATGACAGGGATGAAACCAGGGCAGGCCCTCCACAGGGAATCACCCTCCCCGCTGTATTATCTCTTCGGCCACAGGATCTGAAATATTTTTGGTCCAGAGAATATTTGCTGTCCAGTCTGTTTAACATTTTAATGTCTTTTTGTATCTGACAACAAGAAGAATCCTCTATCCTTCACTTGAACCAAGTAATACAGGTGATTTTTATTATTGTATAAATGTCCCCAAAATCGAAGAAAACCAACTATAAAAAAATCTGTTAATGAGAAATCCTTGTCATCTAAGTCAATATTTCATACCATATATCAAATTACTAATTCTGAAAACATACTGTGTTGATGCCCTAAACCACCTGTTAAGTAGACAAAATTCCCATAACCTACAGAGAAACAAAAATTGTCAGGGGGATGCCACTAAGCATTAGGTAGGGACTGAATGGCCAGTCCACACCTTCCTGTGTCCCTTGCTTTGGGCCCTTTTCACCAGCCACTAACCCTGAACAGTAAACCTGAGCCTGGCTGATTTGCATAGCCAGCAGCTCTCTCCCTGAGGGGATAAGAGGGCACCAGGAGGAGTTCAGCCTCAGGTGCCAGGATCCCATCCCCTCACCATGGCCTGGACCCCGCTCCTCCTGGGCCTCCTGGCTCACTGCACAGGTGAGCTGTCCAGGTTCAGTAGCCCCAGGCCCAGTGCTCTGGAGCCATCTTGGCCCTGAGTCTGAGCTCAGCAGGGCACTGGGGTAGGATGCCCACACCCTGATAGATGATGGGGTTGGGGGTGAGGTCCCACAGAATTACTACAGGTTATGAAGATTATGAGATTATGATCTGGCAGACTGGGATTTCTCCTTACCTTACTTCTCCTTCTCTCTTACAGTTTCTGTATCTTCCTATGAGGTGAATCAGCCGCCCTCATTATCTGTGAGCCTGAGAGGAGAGGCCAAGATGACCTGTGCGGGAGACAAAATTGGAAGCAAATATGTTTCCTGGTACCAGCAGAAGCCAGGCCAGGCCCCTGTGTTCGTCATGGTTGATAGTACCCGGCCCTCAGGGATCCCTGACCGCTTCTCTGGCTCCAACTCTGGCAACCTGGCCACCCTGACCATCACTGGAGTCCAAGCTGAGGATGAGGCCGACTATTACTGTGCAACATATGATGGCAGTGGGAGCAGCTGGCAGCGAGCACAGTGGCAGAGACTCTGGGGAAGTGGGGTAAGAACCTCCTGATATGGCCTGGTGCTCACCCTCACTGTGATCAGTAGCTGAGGCCTGGGGGTCAGGCAAGCCCACTGCCCTGCTCTGATACATATCTCGATCAAGAACTGGTTCTCTATGCTCCTGGATCTTCATTTAGCCTTCAGAAATACAAAACCCTCCAGGACTAAAGCAATAATTCAGTGGGTAAGGCCCTGGCCTTCCATGAAGCAGGCCTAGTTTGATCCCCATCTTCCCATATGTTCCCCTGAGCCCCCGCCATGAGTGATCTCTGAGTGTAGAATAGCTGTAAGTCCTAAGCATAATCAAGTGAGGCCCAAGAGATAAAAAAGAAATTACGTTTTCAACCCTCGATGTTTTGAATTCTTCAAGTCGATGATTTGAGTTCTTCAACTTTTGTCAACACCTGCTGGTCCAGAGTCCCTCCAGCTGCGTGTGGGGCAGCTGCAGCCCTTGCAGATGTAGCGTCTTCACTTCCTCATCCCTGGTGTCTGAGGTGAGTTCAGACACCAGAAGGACAATCTCTGACTCTGAGTGGCCCCTGACTCATGCTAGCCTTTGTTATCCCTTTCCTTTTGTCCTTTGATGAGACTGCAGGTCTTTCAGCATTAGAGAGGAACTCCTTGGAAGGAGAAACATGGGATACCATCACCCACTCATGTATTAGAATGGAGATTTATGACAACTGAATTTTTGTATGTTGTTGAGAATATGAGAAGTTTGTAAAACTTCCATTTCACTCTCTTATGTATATTGATTGGGAACAAATGTCACCACGACTTGATACTCCCTCTTGAATGATTCTTCCTAATGATTTACCCTCCCCACCCCCCACCCCAAACCCCTGTGCTGCATTTTGGTCCCTCTTCTTTTTGAAGGGCAAAATGGGGAAAATTCTTTTATCCACACCAGACAAATTCACTGTATTTGTTCTTCTCATACATTTTTTCTTTTTTTGTTTTTTTGTTTTGTTTTTGGGATGACACCCAGCAATACTCACTGACTATTCCTGGTTCTGTGCTCAGGAATAACTCCTGGAAATGCTCAGGAGACTATATGGGATGCTATGGATCAAGCCTGGATTGGCCACATGTATGGCAGGCACACTACCCACGAAACTATCCAGCCCCTACTATAAACAAAGACAACGAGGGAGTGAAGAAATCTCCTATTCTACACTCTGAGGTGTCTGAATGAATTCACCAAAGGAACAGAGATACTGACAATGATCCAAGTGCACACTGAGCTTCGGTGTCAAACATCATGGGTTCCAGCTGCCATTACTGGAGTAAAGGAAGCTTTAGTCTTGGTTTCCAGATAAAAAGAAATTCTATACTCTTCTAAGTCATTGTGGATTTCCAAGAATCTCAACACTTTAAGAGAACACGGTTCTTTTCACTCTCCACACAAAACTCTGACACAGAAGGGCCTGTTAGTGCTGGAACATAATTTTCAGAAATACATCTGTCTCCTCCTCCCTTTATGCCAGATGGGACTTTTCTAAACAAATCTGGGTGGGTCACGGGGGAAAAGCTGACACTGCTTGAAAGAGTGAGGTCTATACTATGAACCCTCTTTAGGTTAGGTATTACCTGCAGGTGAGAAATTCCTCATCTGAACTCTTCCAGAGTCGGGAAGCTAACTCGCATTCTGGAATTTAGAGGACAGAACCAGGTTTTTCCCAGAGGGAAACTCAAAGGGAGAGATTCTGAGGGCAACAAGTATCCAAGGTTGGGTCCACTGTACTTCCCGAGGTTGCAGAGGCCTCACTCTGAAGGTCAGGATCACCTGGGACACTGAAAGAAGCCGGGGCACAGTTCGTGACTTACCTGTGAAAAACAAGGGCCTCATACTTGTGTGATCAGAAATGCTGGATCCTGCCTCTCAGGTATGTTCAGGGATGCCTTGACCACTCTTTAATCTCTCCTTCCCTCTTTCAGACCATCTCTGACCAGATTCAAAAAGCCTCTGGGTAGTCAGAAATGAAGTTTCAAAGGAGAAGGGTGACTAGTTTCATAGCCGCCTTTCCTGTACTTCATGTGTCTGTTTCACAGACTCCAGTGAGCTGCCTCACCAAACACCTGGTACACTGCACAGGTAAGGAATTCCTGGACGGAACACAGGCTAGCATGAAGGGGGAAAGCCCTGGAAGCTGATTGTGATCACACACATTAATGAGAAGGTTGATATTCTGAGTGAGAAGCAGCTCAGTTTTGGTGATTGCAATCCATTCTCCCTTAAGGCACCTACTCTGCCTTCTGGGTGTGCTAAGATCTTCTTCTAATCAGAGGAGCAATAAATTTCCATGAGAGCAAACCATCTTTATCCCACAGGTCCAAAGAGGATAGAAGAAGATGCTGTAGATCTCAAGAGTGCAGTGAGCACAAGAAGCGCTCTGAGAAGGATCCATCATGGCCCGGCCCCTTCCCCTGGTCCCTTACCTTGCTCTCTGCACAGGTGCCACCTCAAAGGATCGGCTCAACGGGCCTGCCCCAAACCCCGAGCTCCACACTGACACAGACTCATTGAGGGACTACCTCGGGCCTGGCCCTTCTTGTTCAACCCTGTCTCCTCTCCTATCTCTCAAGGCTCTTTGGCCTTCTTTAAGCTTAGCCAGTCATTTTTCACATCAACTGGTCCTGAGACAACCCAGAGATGAGAAACGCTATTCATTGGTACCAGCAGAAGTTGGCCACGTCTCTGTGCTGGTCATCTCTGGTGATAACAACCAGCCCTCCAGGATCCCTAACTGCTTCTCTGACTCCAACTGAGGAATATAGCCACCCTGACTAAGAAACCGTTCTGGCTTAGCAAGAAGCTGACTCTTATCGTATTTGGCACTCGAGTGCCAAAGCCCACAGAGACCTGGGCAGAAGGGAAGTGACACAGAAATCCCTGTCCAAATAAAATCATGCTCTCCTCCAACCCCATGAGCTTGCAGTCAGAGCAGCAAATAGATCTGACACAGAGAGATTTGAGGTCCCCTGACTCACCATGCCGATCATGGAACAGGCTCTTTCCAGGATCACGAAGGGTGAATGTGGGATTGTAGGATGAAGCTGTCATGGTGTCACTTGGAAGGGGGTGTTAGGCAAACATGACCAGACTTCAGGATTATTAGAGGGAAATGCGTGTCCAGTGTGTTAAAAGATAAACTGAGGCATATTGGAATTTCAAGGTTGTTTACAGCAAGTACTTATTTGAGTGCTATACTAGAAGCAGTTAGGAGCCTCCCAGGGTTATAGGGCAGGAAAAAGACTACAGAGAAGAGGCAAATGCAAGGCAAGGAAATGATTAAGTGAATCGAGCTCAATAGTCAGCCCAAATCTCAGGATGGAACAACCTCAGAAGATAATTTAACAAGAGCAAAGGACCTGAGAGACTCTCAGTGAAAAATATGACCAGTGCTCAAAATCCCTTCCCTTGACAAACCTTGACAGTAACTCCTTTCTTCAGAAAGAACTCCAAGCTGCGCAGCTTGGAAAGGCTCAAACTCCTGGAGGATTCAGGACACACCATTCCAGAGTCACTGAATCTGACTTAGAGTACATCTTTTTCCTTAGGGGTTTGTCTTTCCCTAGAGAAGCCCATATTCTTCCTTGTTTTTAATCTCTTTTACCTCCAATTTGTGTGTGTGTAAGAGAGAGAGAGAGAGAGAGAGAGAGAGAGAGAGAGAGAGAGAGAGAGACTGGACTGCGTGCACCACACCTGACCATACTCAGGGATTCTGACTTCTCACTTTCTCACTCTTGGATTGTTCCTGATAGGGTCTGGGCACAATTTGTGGTGACAGGGGTCAAACCTGAGCAGGTCAGGCACAAGGAATCACTCTTCCCACTGTGTGTTATCTCTCCAGCCACAGGATCTGAAATAGTTTTGGTCCAGAGAATATTTGAGATTTAGTCTGTTTACATCTTAATGTCTTTTGGTATCTGGTAACAAGAAGGATCCTCTATCCTTTACTTGAATCAAGTAATAAACATGACTTTTATTGTATGAATGTCCCCAAAATGAAGGAACCCAACTATAAAGAATATTTCAATGAGAAATCTTGTAATTTAAGCCAATATTTCATCCCATATATCAAATTATTTATTCTGAAAACGCAATGTGTCAGTGCCCTAAATTACCTCCTAGTAGACAAAATTCCCATAAGCTATAGAGAAACAAAAATTGTCAGGGAGATGCCACTAAGAAGCAGGTAGGGACTGCAAGGCCAGCTCTCCCCCTTCCTGTGTCCCTTGGGTCTGCGCCCTTTTCTGCAGACACTGACCCTAACTGCATCCCTGAGTCTGGCTTATTTGCATAGCCAGCAGCTCTCTCCCTGAGGGGATAAGAGGGGACCAGGTGGAGTTCAGCCTCAGGTGCCAGAATCCCAGCCCCTCACCATGGCCTGAACCCCACTCCTCCTGGGCCTCATGGCTCACTGCAGAGGTGATGTGTCCAGGCTGAAAACAGCCCCAGGCCCAGTGCTCTGGGGCCATCCTGGTCCCGGCGCTGAGCTCTGCCAGGCACTGGGGTAGGATTCCCATCTCCTTTATGGAGGGTGGTGGCGGGGAGTAAAATTCCACAGAGTTACTACAGGTTATGAAGATTGGGATCTATCAGACTGAGATTCCTCCTTTCCTGACCTCCCCTTCTCTCTTGCCTTCTGATTGTGAGGAACAATTTCCATGCTGTGCAGAATGAGTGACTTCAAGCATAGCTTGATGATCGTAGAGTAGGGCCAGTGGGGCATGAGCATCCATGGCATATAGATGCTAGGAGTAGCTTTTGTGTGTTCTGACCATCTAGGTTTTTCCTGGGATGGCTGCGGAGTGTCTAACAAAGGGCCAGAAAAACTTTTTTCTACAGGCTACTCCCTTCCTTCCCAATCCACCCAAGGCACCTGCAATAATTTTCAGTAAACACCATTGCACGCAAGCTCAACAAGCATTCTAATTCTCACACTTAACAGCAAAGGTAGCTGAGGCATGAGAGGTGAGTTCAGAAAAGCAATCTGTACGCCAGCACTATCCGGAATAGCCAGAATCTGGAAACAATCCCGTGCCCAAGATCAGACAAGTGCATAAAGAAATATTTGTAAAACACAAATGCCACTGGTCACTGTGCAAGGCTGTCTCACTCAAGGCAATCCGTACTGGGGCTGGTGAGTCCCACCCACCACCCCCAAAGAAGCTCCTGCAACCAAAAACCTCCAGAATCACATAACTGACAGTCACACCCACAAACTGCCTCTGACTCCACTTAATCTCATTAATGGCCATAATCCAGAGCCTCACAAATAAACCTCTGAAGAGAAAGAGAGCAACACGCTCCAGAGATGCCACCGGACTCCAATATCACCATTCAGTTATAAATGTAACTCTTGCTGTATCACTCTATTAAAAAATCTTAGAAATTCTGCACATCTCATACTCTCTAGAATGGCTTAATGACCCCAGGGTGATAAAACAATCTTCACACACTTTCCTTGAAGGTCAATTTTGGATCATCTTCAGAGGATTTTTCATATAGGCAATACAAAAGAAATTATTATGCTTTGCTTTGGGGATTGGGGTGGAATAATTTGAAATATTGTAGTGGAAATGTGTGATGGTGTGAGAATATTGAATGTAATCAATTATTGTGAACAACTTTATAAAAAAATAAAGAATAAAAAAACTTTAAAAGAAACCATCATACATTAAAAAAAAAAAAAAAAGAAACCATCGTATTAACAACCAAAAGGAGAGATAGAGTAAGAGACAATGTATCTGCGCATTGGCAGGGTTTGGGGTTTGTAGGTGGGTGGTGGCGGGAGGGGAACTGGGAACATTGGTGGTGAAGATGTGCACGGATGCAGGAATGGGTCACTTGATCACTTGACTTCCCATTAATAGTTGGTTTGCTCAAGCGGGCGCCATTAACGTCTACATTTGTCCCTGTCGCATGCTAGTGTAGCCCAATGGCATCTGTTCATTCTAGGAACATGAAGAGCCTCAAACCGATCGTTCACAATCTGGATAAAGAAGTCTGACCATCTGGTAGGTCGGCGGCCACATGGTCTTTTGACGTTCCGTGGAATCCAGTCGGTAATGACTCTAGTCCAGCGGTCCTCTCTAAATCTCATTACATGTCCAACCCATCTGATCTTTGACACCTTGGCAAATGAGACAGCATCAATGGGAGGTCGGAACTCCGGATTCTTTCTCTCATTTGAGTGAAACGTGATACTTCAAGCATAGCTCTTTCAAGTCCCCTTTGGGAGACCCAAATAGCGTTCTCATCCTGTTTGCGTAGGGCCCAAGTCTCTGAGCCATATATTAATGCAGGAAGAACAGTAGAATCGAAGAGATGTGCCCGGAGCCACAGGTTCTTTGTCCTCTTAGCTATTTCTTGGACGCACTTGAGGACGTTCCAAGCTGACTAGGGCTTCAATGATGGCTTCCGTCTCAACAGAATCAAAGGCCTTCTTTAAATCAATGAACATTAGACAGAGCGGCATCTTGAACTCCCAAGAAACCTTAATGAGCTTGGTTATCATGTGGATATGGCCAATGGTGCTGAATCCTTTGTGGAACCCGGCTTGCTCGCATGGTTGTCCTTCATCTAGTGTTCTGCCAATCCTATTCAGGATGACTCAAGTGAACAGCTTGTAGATGACAGACAATAGGCAGATTGGGCGATAGTTGCCAATGTCATAGATGTTTCCCTTCTCGTACAGTAGTACAGTCCTGCTGGTTTTCCATTGGAATGGAACCTTGCATTCAGACATTCAGACAGGTAGTTATGTGAAGAGCCGAGCCAACGTATTGATGAGTACTGACGGCAGTTTCTTCAGGTGTTCAGGTCTGACCTTGTCCGGACCAGGTGCGGTTTGTTTCTTTTTCTTTTTTTTCTTTATTAGTGAAACACCATGAGGTACAGTTATAGACTTATAAAGTTTTGTGCTTAGGTTTCAGTTATACAGTGATCAAGTACCCATCCCTCCACCAGTGCCCATCCTCCACCACCACGGGTCCCAGCATCCCTCCCACCCCCATCCCCCCGACCCACCCTGCCTCTGTGGCAGGGCATTTCCCCTTGTTCTCTCTCTCCTCTTTTTGGTACTGTGTTTTGCAAGAGAGGCATTGAGTGGCAATCATGTTTGGTCTATAGACTACTTTTAGCATGCTTCTCCCACCCTGGGAGGGTCCTCACAGCACCCTTTATTTGGTGCTCTCTTCTCTATCTGAGCTTCCTTTTCTTCTAGCACTTGTGGCTGGCTTTCAAATCGTGGAGCTGTTCCTTTCTTAACCAATGAAATGGTGTGTCGGATTTCGAAAGGGAGAGCATTGGGAATGACATTTCCATCCTGTGGAATTTGGTATGTGGGCAGGTGGACATGGCTATCAAAGAGATATGAGTAAAAGTCATGGATAATCTTCTCCATTGCCCTTCTGGAAGATGTGATAGATCCATCAGGACATCGGAGGTCAGTCATCTTGGTTTTGTAGTTGGCCAAGGACAAACAGGCAGGTGTTACAAATACCTTTCCCGGCTTCTGTCGCATCTACCAGCACTTCTGCTCTTCTCTCTTTGAGGTCTTCCTTCATCGCATCTCTACACTGCTTTGCGAGCTCGGATGTTCACTTGCGGTTGCCTGAGGCATGCGCCAAACCACATTGGTGAATAAGC